ACAATGCTCTGTGCATGTTGCTCTCTTTGGGCCACTCTCTGCACTCACTCTGCCATTTATTTTCTTGAAATTTACTTTTAAATTATTTTTAGTATTTTTTATTCATTGTTGCACATTTTCTTCCCTCCTCCCCCAGCCCACCCTGCAATGCCCCTCTTCTTCCAGATTGTTCTTATACATTTAACACATAATCATATATTTCTTCTGGACAGTTCTTTTCCTCATCTGTTCAATTGCAGTGTTCATTATCTATTAATTCTTTTCCCATTCTCTCTCCACCTCCTCATGTCTGTCTTATTATATAACAATGGTGTTATACAGTATTTTCCCTTTTGTGCCTGAGATATTTCAATCAACATAATTTCCTCTAGGCTCTACTATGCTGTGTAATGTTTCATGAGTTCATTGTTTTTCAATGCTGCATAGTATTCCATTGTGTGAATATACTATAGTTTTTCTATCCATTTGTTTATTGGGCACTTGAGCTGCTTCTGTCTCTTTACTATTGTGAATAATGCAGCAATAAACATGGGTATGCACACATCTCTTTGTATTGTGGCTCTGGTTTCTTTAGTGTATATTCCCAGTAACGGAATTGGTGGGTCAAATGGTATTTCTATTTCCAACTTTTTGAGAAAGCGCAAGACTGCCTTCCATACTGGTTGGACCATTTTGCATTTCCACCAGCAGTGAATAAGAGTTCCAATCTCTTCACAATCTCACCAGCATTTGTTGTTTGCCCTATTGAACTTTGCGATTGTTGCTGAGGTGAGATATCTCCTACTTATTTTGATTTGAATATCTTTGAGAGCCAGGGATTCTGAACATTTCTTAACGTGTTTCTTTGCCATCTGAATGTCTTCTTTGGTGATGTTTGTTCATATCCTGTGACCATTTTGTGTTTGGGTTGTTTACCTTTTTCTTGTTGAGGCGCTGGAGCATTCTAAATATTTTAGTTATAAGTCCCTTACCAGATAGGTTATTGGCAAATATTTTCCCCCCAGTCTGTGGGTTTTCTTCTTACTTTGTTGGAATTTTTTTTTTTTATGTGCATAGGGATTTGATTTTTAAATAGTCTCATTCCTCTATTTTGTTTTCTTCTGGTTGTTAATTATACTTTTCATTACTCTTCTAGATTAAGGCTTTTAGAGGTCTCCCTAACTTTTCTTTGATGAAGTCTTTGGTTTTACTTCTAGGTCCCTGATCCACTTTGAGTTTGTTTTTGTGTATGGTGTGAGGAGTGGGTCTTGCTTAAGTTTTTTGCAGATGGTTTTCCAACTTTGCTAACACCATTTGTTAAAGAGATTATCATTTCCCCACTTAACTGATTTCGTATCCTCGTCAAAGATCGGTTGACCATGAACTGATTTCTGGGTTCTCAATTTTATTCCATTGATGTATATGTTTCACTGTACCAGTACCATGCTGTCTTGACCACCATGGCTGAGATCAGAGAGTATAATGCCTCCGACTGTTTCTCTTTTTCAGTAGTATTTTGCTTATTCAGGGTCTCTTACCATTCAAGATAAAATTTGAAATTGCCTTTTCCATCTGGTTGAATAATGGAATTGGTATCTATATTAGGATTGTACTGAATTGTAGATTGTCTTTGGTTGAATTGTCATTTTCATGATATTGAGTCTTCTATCCATGATCATGTTCTATTATTCCATTTCTTTAGGTTTCTTTGTTTCTTGTAGTTGTTATTGTTGTTAGGTGTTGTTGACTCATGGTAACCCTATGAACAAAAGATGTGAACCCTGTTCTATGCTGTGCCTTCCTCACACTTCCTGACACACAAGAGGCCATTGTGGCTGTCAGTGTGTCAGTCCACCTGGTTGAGGATCTTCCTCTCCTTCGCTGACCCTCCTCCCTTCCTAGCATCATGTTCCTCTCCAAGGAATAGGCCCTCCTAGCAAAATGGCCAATGTATGTGAGGCTTTGCCTTATCATTCTTCCCTCCAAAGAGCACTCCAGCAGTGCTGTCACCAAGACATATCTGTTTGTTCTCTTGGTGGTCCGTGGGATGTTCAGTTCTCTTTTCCAGCATCACAGCTCAAAGGCATCAATTATATTTCTGTCATCCTTATTCATTGTCCAGCTCTCAGATGCATAGCAAGTAATTGGAAAGACCACTGACTGAATCAGATGTACTTTAGTTCTCAAACTGACATCTTTACTCCTCAATAATTTGAAGAGGTCTCTAATTATAGATTTTCCCAGTGCAATGTATCTCCTTATTTCCTGACTGCTGGTACCAAGGGTATTAATTGTGGATCTAAGCAAGATGAAGTTGTTGACAGTTTCAATCTCTTCTCCATCTACTATGTTGTGGCCTATCAGTCCAGTGAAAAGAATTTTTGTTTTCTTGACATTGAGATGCAATCCATATCAAAGTCTGCATTCCTTGATCTTCTGCAAAAAGTCCTCCTCACTTTCAGCAAGCAAGGTTGTATTATCTGCATAATGCAGGTTATTGATGAGTCTCCCACCAATCCTTATACCACACTCCTCTTCAGAGTCCAGTTTCTCAGATAATTTGTTCAGCATACAGATTAAATAGGTATGGAGTGAGACTGCAACCCTGACACACTCCCTTCTTAATTTTAATCAACGCAGTGTTCCCCTGCTCTATTCCACACAACAGCCTCCTGGTCCTGGTATAGGTTCCGAATGAGCACAATTAAGTGCTCTTGGATTCCCATTCTTCTCCATGTCAGCCACAACTTGTTAAGATCCACACAGTCAAATGCCTTTGTAGTCAATAAAACACAAAGACATTCTTCTGCTCCCAACTGGAGATTCTTACACAGGTTCCAATGACTTTTAAATACAAAGGTCCACCTACCAGGTCCTGATTGAGTAAATAAGAGGCTTCCAGTGCACAGTTTATTGTTAACTAAATCAAAATGGCCAATCAGCTTACACTTATTTTTCTTGTAGTAATGACTTGTAATTGTCTTTGTATAGGTCTTTTGTGTTTTTAGTTAGGTCTATTCTCAAGTATTTCATTTTGTGAATAGGTATTGTAGTTGGTATTTTTTTCCTTAGATCCATTTCTATATTCTCTTTGTCACTGTAGAGAAATCCAACAGATTTTGATATGAAGATGCTATGATAGTATACTTAGAAAACCCTAAAGACTCAACAAGAAAATTAGTGGGCCTAGTAGCAGAGTACAAGAAATACTTATTTAAAAATGCACAACTATAATCTAGATATGGTAATTTTACACTTAACTCTTGAACTCTATTATACTTATGATAAATAACCAAAAGAGATCTAAGATTTGCTAACTTGGAAAGGTAAAGTAAGAAAAGGGGTGGTCTGGGGGAAAACCTTTAAGCAAAACAATCCTGGCAGCACAAATAGTATATTTTATAACCACATTAATCTGTTCCTTTAACCAAAGAATATCATTATATATCATAAATTGACCATATTAAAGCAATAAATGTACACATAGAGAAAGTTCAGCAATAAGAAAAATCCATTAGGAATAAGGTGGTATTTGTCTTGTTTTGGTTTTTTAAAAATGTTTTTTTCAGTGGGCAGTGTGTGTAGGTAAATAGTCAAGAGCAGAATGAATCTGCTTCATCTGAGCACCTTCTCAGGGGACGTAAATGGCCTTGAATCAGTTCACTGTAGCTGTGGACTGATGACATGAACTGATTCCCCAAACAGTGGTCTGGCTTGCTGTTCTACTGTGGAACTTACCCATGGTGTTACACACCTAGTGAATGCCTATAAACACTGTAAATCAAACCACATTAAACCTACTGCCTTCAAGTAGATTTTCAACTCACAACAATGCTCCACCAAGTTGCCAATGCTGTAAATCTTTACCTATCTGTTGACTTTTCAGCTAGCAACCCAACATTTTACCGCCAGGCTCCTCTGGAAGTATAGTAAGGGGTTCTATAACATCAAATCCAAACCCAGTGTCTGAGCCAAGTCTGACTCATAGCAACCTTCCATCAAGTTTCTAAGGCTGCAAATCTCTACTGGAAGAGGATGCCCATCTTTCTTCCTTGAAGCCAACAGTGGACTTGAGCTACCAATCTTTGGTTTATAGGCCAAAACACAATGTGCTATGTTACCATCAGGGCTCCTTAGGTGTGTTCTTTGCTGAAAAAGAAAACTTAAAAAACACAATGTGCTACAGAATATATATTGATATGTGAAAAATATTGGCGAAAAACGTTAAGAGAAACTTTGATTATGCAGTTAAGACGACTGGCATGTCCTTGTGCCAAACATGTTATAAACTACCAAACAGTCAAAGTTAAAGGAATGTTTTACACCAAAGTAATTCCAATTATCTCACTTCCGCATGTTTTTTTTTTAAATTGTAGTTTTACCTTAAGTATTTCCATATCAATTGTAATGAATAATTTGGCATGTTTTCTTAAGAAAATATGTAAATTACTGTGTAATCACAATATTGCAGCAAACAAGATAAATGCAAGAATGATCACCTAAACATCTAATTAGGTTTTCTACACAGTCAGATTTATGCTAGAGACACTAATTGCACCTAACATTTTAATGAAGGTTTCAACATTGCATAAATAAGACTGACAAACTACAAACAATTTTCATTTATTTCCCTTTTTCCTTTGCTCAAAAACAATTTGCTTTTGTAAAAGTACCACACACCTGCTGGGCAAGATATGTTGATGGGCTCACTGTTCTGCAATCCAAGCATTTCCATTATAAAGAGGATTGCAGAAATGCAACAATAGATCAATCTTTGTGGAGGGTGACAATGTCATATGAAAATGCAAAAGTTTTACAATTTCATACTAAACAGGGCAACTGGTATATTATAACTTGAGAACAAAAATATTCTTTTCACCCATTCATGTAAACTATATAACATAGAGGTTTAAAGGAGAGTCTCTTGAAATTACAAATTTAGGCAAACAACTTATTTCCAACTTTTCAAAACATTTCTATTTTACTAGTTATTAAAAAGATGAAATAATAAAGATGCCAACCTGCTTGATCAGGAGATAGGGGTCCTGGAGTGTTGGAGTTCAATGTCTCCTCTCTTTGTTGGAACAAAGAAGTGACAACAGCTGTTGCTTTCTCCTTGTTCTTGATAGTGCCTTTATTGGAATACAGATTTTCCTATATATTATTTCTTTGGACATTTATAAATGTTATTAATTTGATAGAATTAATAGGATTTATTGAATTATTTAAAAGTAATTTAGCTTTTATTATTGTAAAAATAGGTTAGCTGAGTAAGATGTTAAAAATGTTCCAAAAGTTAAAGAAAAAGAGAAGGGGCAGAAAAAGGGTAAGGTCGAAATTACTAGGAAAGAAGAATTCAGTGGGTGGATGGGGTCGTGAAGCAATAGAAAAGAGTCGATAATAACAGGCATAGATGAACAGTAATCAATTATTTAAAATATACTATATATGATTATACAAAACACAATGTAAATTAAAGACTATAAAATAATTTACATGAATGAAATACAATGTATATGAACTACTGCATGCAAAACAATAAAAATATAAATGTAAATTAAAGGCAATAATATGGATTCTTACTTTTTAAAACTTCTCAGTAGAATGCTTTAACGATTAACTCAACATTTTTTCAAGGTTCATCTTACAATTCTTTGATATTTTAGATTTAGGTTTTCTTTTTTTTTTAATTTTTATTTTTGTGTGCGTGTACCGTCAAATCAGATCTGACTGGTACAGGAGGAGATTGTCCCTCCTTACCCGGCAGAGCATCTGGGGATTGTAGTTGCAGCTCTTTGCCACTAGGCCACCAGAGCTCCCCAGGTTTTCTTTTTTTTTAAATTATCATTAAATTTTATTAGTTTTAATGAACATTTACAGAGATTTTGGGTTCTCATTCATTCATTGTTGCACTGTTTTCTCTACCCTCCTCCCCAGTTCGTTCTTCTTCCCCCCCCCCTGTCCCTGAATGTCTGTTTTAATTCTCCAGTTGCCACAGTGCTTGTCAAAGCCAGTTCTGATTAATCTCCTTTGTCAGTGTGTCCTTTGCCATTCCCTATCACTCCTCCCTGAGAGAGACTTCACCCTGATTCATAAGGAAAAGGGGATGGCATATTCTCTTAGCTACTTCCTGCTGAAAAGGGACGTTGTGGGTTTCAAGATTTAGGTTTACTAATGTACAATAAAAGAAATTACAAAATTCCTATAAGTTGTAAAAGGTCTCTTATTTTTTTCCCCTTTGCTTCCACATAAAATGCATCTGTGTTTCTTTAAATTACAATTCTCATTGGCCTCTTTCTGAAACAGATTATTTTCCTTAGTAGCTGTAAGAAATAGATGTAGACATTATTGCAGAATTAATTTTTTTGTTTACTATTTTATAAATGCCACATAAAACTTAGCAGGCAGGATTTCAGGCTAGACAATAATCCTACATTTTTGAGAAAATATGGTAACAGATATGTGTGTATATACAAAAACACATATACATAACTTATACCTACTATTTAATGAAATAACTATAATAATCACCCATAATACTTTACTGGGTGTAAAGAGTTTAAATTTTAGCCTACTTATATCAGATGACAAGGAGTCTAGAGGGAAGTTAGTAAATAGAAAATCAGCCCAGAATGAAACATGAAATATTCTTCTAAGTAGTCAAGGTTAATTTTAGCAAGGTCTGCCAGCATAAAGTTCTTCTACCACTTTGGGATCATTATTTAAACAAATAAAATTCACTCACATCCACTGCCATCAAGTTCATTCTGACCCTCTGCTGGGTTTTCTGCCTGGTGCCTCCTAATAGAAGTAGACTGTCCACCCTTGGGTGGAGTTGAACCACTAGAGGTGCATGGCCATTTGGCTAGCAGCACAAACTTCTAATAAGCTTACATCATGATGATGTAAGTTTATTCAGTTTTGAAAAGAAGTAGCCTTTTATTTTTGTGGTAAAAAAACCAAGAAAGCCTCAAACACAGAGCAGCTGAGTGAGCCTTGGTGGACAGTGTCCCTACAGGGTGAGCCCTATATCCCTAACAGGGTCAGCCTTGACAGACTGTGTCCCTACAGGGTCAGCCCTGACTCACAGTGTCCCTACAGGAAAGAAGGAACCTCCTTTATAGGGTTCCTGTGTGGTAAGAAGTTGCGCTGTAGTTGTGAATACACACTGGACCCACAGCTGGAGGGTCAGTTCTGACTTGATAGCACACACAATGTAGGGTTCCTAAGACAATAATCTTTATAGAAGCAGATGCCACGTCTTCCTCCTAATTAGCTCGAATTATCAACCTTTCGCTTAGCAGCCAAGTGCTAATCCACGTCGACACCATGGCTACCCACTTCTATGGCATTGTCTATTTAATCCAGCAAATCTCTGCTAGGGCTCTAGAACAATTCCTTTGTAGAAAATCTGATTTCCATAATCCCTGTGGAAGAGACATTTATATTTTAAATGAACTGATTCATAATCCTTTGAAATTGACAACCTGCAGAGACAGATTCCATGGCCCTGAATAACACACACACAGAAGACAGTATTGAATTAGTGCCATACCGCTGGGTGTTTCTGTCCTCTCCCGGCTGGCGCCTTTTAGCCGTAATCGTCTTCTGTTATTCTTATCTGCTGATGGTTCTTGAGGGGGATGAGGATGCATAGCACGTAGACTCGCTGGTGCATTTTTATAGCAAAGAGCAAAAAGCCAAAATGAAAGTACTTTATGGTTAGAAATATCTTTTTATAATTATAGCTAGAATATTCATACTATCATTGGACATTACAACATAAAAATGTATCAAAACCACGAGTCATTCCTTCATAGGAGATCAGTGTTTATTCCTGTTTCAATGTTAGGATTATATCAGGCTTTCACAATTAATGGTACATTCCCCCTCCCCCTATATGCTTAAAGAGAACTAGAACTTGATTATACTAAGCAAACAATCAGCTATTTTAAAAAGTAGAAAAATTAAATTGATATCCAATACAGAAAAACCATTTCTTTTTTTATGTAAAGAAATGTAGCTCAGGTATAGGCAGCAAGTGCTTAGAGAACAATTTCTCAAAGAACTCTCGAGAACGGAGCTCAAACCTAAAAGAAAATGTATGAATTAAACTTTAATTTTATAATATTATCAATTGCAGTTAATATTTACTGAATGCTTAATTGTTTGGCACAATATCATGTGCTGAACTAATTTTCTTTATTGAATCCTCCCAATGACCTCATTTGGCAGCTGCCATAAATGACAAGTGTCAGTAGTAATGGTATGCCCATTTTTCAGGTAAGAAAACTGAGGCTCATAGAATCTTAAAAACTTGCTCAAGTCCTCAACAATTGTTGGTTGCAGAGTTGGGACTGGATCTCTATGCTATTAATTTCCTTATTTCCATTTTACATGCCACGGGAGATATTATCTACAATGATCATTCATTTCAAAATCAAATCAAATACTCTTGTCTTCTGTTTTCATGTGAGTTTGTTAACTAAGTGGAAAAACTGAAAAGGAGTTGGCAAGCCGTGGGTTCTTGTTTCAATTCTTTCTAATAATTGTGCAGGGAAAAAATCACTAATTTAGCCTTGAGTGCTCAATCTGTAAAATAGGACAGATGCACCTCCTTTCTTAACTCACAGAATTGCTTTACATATGGAATGAGAAAATAGAGAGACCTTTACAAATGAAAGAGATTAATTAAAAAGTAAAACAAAGTTAAGAAAACATAAAATGCACATGGAGTTTCCAAAAAAACAGTGACAATGGAATACTACTATATTTTCTTACCAATCATCAAAAAGCGAAATTATAAGGTTCTTTAGCAATTTAAAATAACTGACTCAATAGAATGACAGGTTACAGAAGAGAACATATTACGTGACTCTTCTTTGGACTTAAGATGAAGTCACCAGTCTAACTTCTGATTTATCTTACCAAGAATATGTCTCATTATTTTCAGTAGCTATCCATCTTTTTAGCAGTGTTCTTTCTTACCACGGGTAGGTACAGTCTGCTTTATCTGGCGAATGTTCTCCTTGTCTCCTTGTGCTTCTGACTCAGAAAGCAGTAAGGCTGACATGTCTACATTGCTAGCATACGTTTCTCCAGTGGACCGCAGGCAAAGTCTGCTGGTTTTTGACTCAATGGATCTTACCATCTATAAGAGAGAACAATTTAATTGTATGCTTTAAAATTGTGACACTGCCTTTATCTTCTGTAGAATCTACCCAGGAAAAATAATCTTTGGACAAATAAAGAATGAGGAAAGGGGGTGGGGAACCTGAGGAAACAAGAAGGTTAAAAAGTGAGAGAGCAGGAGATTCTGGTAGAAAATGAGAAGGAAAGAGAAGAAAATTAACACTGTGAGATGAAATGGAAGACAAAAAAGCCCCTTAAACACAGAAATGAAAATATGCTCATTTGCTCTACTCTGTCATTAGTAGGTAGAAGTGGAATTAAAAAGTACTGCTGAATGTCAGAAATTCAGAGGAAACTAAAAATAAAACACTTAACACTTGAGAATCTGCTCATTGTAAGGTGTCTGGTGATGATCCAATTTCTTTTTGAAAGAGACAGTAAAGTATGCTCACATATATCTGCCTTTAAGTTTTACAAATATTTTTAATGAAAAGAATATTCCAAAATGTTAATTATGTTGACATGACGCAGGAAACACTTTCAAGGTCCTTTCAAAATCCATAATTCCTACATTTATTCAAGCCGTCTGCTTTTGGCATATAAAGTTCTCTCTCTCTCCCCTCTTCCCACCCCTTGCTCCTTTTTTTCCTATATTGGAAAACAAAAACTCAAAAACCTTTCTCTTACTATATCACTCATAGTAAGGTCTTCAAATCTTGCTCCTACCTCACCAGACAGCCTCACATTATTCCTTCTGCCAGAGAGTCGAGGTGGTCCGAGAACTCTGGATCCGAAGGCGATGTGACAAACATCTTGATTTCTACTGTTCCGCACGCTGCCTGCTCCTCGATTAATGAACTGATCTGTATTGTTAAAGGAAAGTGAAGACAGTTTGTTCATGGGTGTAATGATAAATGCCATATTTCTGAAAGTACAGTCCTGTGATCAGATCATCTGAATTACACCTGGACAGTTAGTAAAAATGTAGGTACTGGGAAACTACAGCAACACTGTAGAATTAAAATCTTAGGGTTGAGGGTGGGGAGGGCAGAAATCTATATTTTTAACCAGTTCCTTCAAGTGAGTCTCAGGCTCTCATTTGAGAGCAACTATTTATCTTATATGCTTCTTAGGGAGTTCTTTGGGGTGGTCTAGTGGCAAGAAGCTGGGTTACAATCCCAAAGGCACACAGTTGGAATCCACTAGCTGCTCTGTGGGAGAAAGATGGGCGGTCTCCTGCATGACTCACTGTCTCTGAAAACTCCCTGGAGGGTCAGTGGTTTCGACTCCACAGCACACAACAACAACAACAATAACAACAACATATTATTCCTAAAAGAAATGATTTAAATAAAACTTCTTAACTCAATTTAACAAATACTGTGTCAGACATTTCCTAGAGGTTGTCAGTAACTTAAAATGAATAAGACACACAGAGCTTACCCACAGAGAGTCTCAGATGAAGGTGATTAAGACAACTTAAAAGCAGACTAGGGAATGGAGAGTAACTGGTCTTCTGAATGGACCTGGAATGACTGATGGAATTTCAAGGCAAACAGAAATGCTCTAAGAAACTACCTGAATGAAGACACAGAAGAAAGAAAAAGAGTATGCTTGGAGAGTACTGATGTGACCAGACTAGCAGGAATGACAGGCTTGAGTCATAGTAACAAGTGACTAAGAGTCTGTTCTAAATCTGGTGGATAGTGGGCGACTAAGAATCACCAAAACTACTGCAGAAAAAAAGAATGTGTCGGTATCATCTCAAGGATAAGGCAAGCATGCGCATCCAAACCCTGCCACTTTTCCCTCTTGGGCACTTGACTACGTTACATTTCCCAGACTCCCTGCAGTTATGTGGGCCACGTGACTGAGTGCTGGCTAAAGGAAAATGAGACGTGGACCTGTGTGGTGTAAGCCACTTCCTGGATCCTCCAACTTCCCATTATAATTCACCAACCTACAGCTCTTCCATCAATTTCCAACAAGCCGAGGAAGATCTTATTGAAGGCCTTCAAGGTCTCCACCAGAGTCAGGAGGTGAGTCTGGGCCCTGAATAACCTAATGGAAAGCCACCAATGAACTCCTGACTTAATAAGAATCACTGGGCCGTTAGCACAGAAAACCTCCCCTGACTAACGAAACAGTGATGGTCCTGGTGTGTCATCATCTAAAAGTTGACCCAGAAATCGATCTGCTATGCTCTAAGAAACTGTGTTGCAATCCCAAAGGCACGCAGTTCCAATCCACCAGCAGCTCTGTGCTCCCGTGCAATTAACTGCCTCTGAAAACCCACTGGAGAGTTAGCAATGGTTGGTTCCAATGCGACGGTACACAACAACCTGTAAGACAGGACCTGCTAAAGTATTACGATGCTGGTCCTCATAAAGTTCACATATGTCCCAAAGTCATGTATGTATATGAGTTGCTGATTATTTCCTGTTTGCCCCATTCCCCTGGGGAGTGGGGGTGGGGGAAATCCTTATACTTGCTTGGTCCCATTAATCTCTGCTGAAGAACTGTGATTCTATAAATGTGATGGCTCTACAGAACATCCTTAGGTGACAACATGAGAAAAGGCATATACATTGACAACACAATATAATCCAACTAATGTGCGTACATGCGCGTGGGTGTGTGGCTGTTTTTCTGTTTTGCAATAGATGAAAGTGAACTGATGGGAGGGGTCAGTTGAACTAGAAAAGAAGATGACAGTGAAGGAGTGAGAAGCTATAGTATCTCTGTTGTCTTCACACTTCTAGAGTCTGATTATTGTTGTGTGCTGCCAAGTTGGAATCAACTCACGGCTGACCCTCCAGTGGGTTTCCAAAGGCAGCAAATCACACGGGAGGAGATAGTCCATTCTTGTCCCACAAGTCTGATCAGGCAGAAGAAAGATTCCATCCATCCAAAGGGCAGAACCAGAACTAATGAGTAGAATTATTTTGCAGCAAACGTTTAACCTAGCATAAAGATTTTCTCTAATGAAATCATGTCTGGTTGTTGAGGTGGTCAATTTTCTGACATTTGGTGTTAAAGCAGAGGTCTGGAGAGATTGTTGTAAAGCAGATTCAGATGCCACAGGACTCTCACCTGTGTGTCTCTAGCTTAGAAAAGTGGGCTGGGCTAGATATATACTGTATGTCTCATCTGTATCCAGTAGCCTTTTTGACCAGAAACTAACAGATGTCTGAAACACCTCAAACTCAATAGTGCCAACCTGAGAACCTGGCCTAAAGAATGGTACTATAAGTCACCTAGCTTTAGAAATCAAAACCTTGGTGTCCCTCTCCATCTCCTCCATTTCCCATCCATCTCTCTCTCTCTCTTTCCCTGACCCCCTCTCTCTCTGATCTATCTCCTGCAACCCCACTAATGAGCTGATGACCACAAATCATCAGGTGATTTACCATGTTCACTCTGGTTCCTACTCCCATTCCTTCTCTAAAATGCAGCCACAGCAGTATTACAGAAACATAAAGCTGATCGACTCATTCCTTTTCCATCACTTAAAACTGTGCAATGGCTTCCCTGGGCTCTCAGGATTAAGATGAAAGTCTTTCCTCTTGACTTTTAGGTTTTATTTCACATGGTACTTCCTCAGACAAGCCTGTCATTACTCCTTTGACTAGAGTACACTCCCCCAGGCACAGGCATTTCCCTCAAAGACCTTGCCAGACCTGCAGTTGTATGTGTGTTTACGGGATTCTCTGATTAACCTGTGTCCTACAGTGGCTGGACAGTGTGGGCTTAAGTGCAGCATAGACTGTGAGGATGGTGCAGGATGGTCAGGGTTTAGCTCTGTTGTTCACAGGGTCACTATGAATCAGAGTAGACTAAACGGGACCTACGACAACAACAACAACAACGACAACAAATGGAGACAACAGAACACCACTAGTCTCTCTGCGTTGATAACAGAAATAAATGACATTAAAAATTCAGTCCTGAGGAAAATTAAACCAAATCCAAGGCAACCAAAATATGACCTTGAGT